ATGGCCAACGAGTGAGCAGTGTGAGACAAGTGGAGATTTGAGACAGACACACAGGCATGGAAGGTTCTGGCTCAATACTTGGAGAGGAGCCACTCACCCACACTTGAAGGAGGTCCACACCTTGGAGGAGTTGCCTACACCTGAAGGGGCCAATGGGTCCATGTTAGAAGGAGAACTGCACATGACAGAGGGCCAGAAGGAGGCGTGCACATGTCAGTTCAGTGGTTCCCAGGTATATGCCAACATGCCTGGGCTTCTGTCTACATGTCTGGGATGGTGCCCACATACTCTTGATTTGTGTTTTAAAAATAAAGGCCTCTAAAGTGCTTCAAATGGTTACTGGTGTTGTATCCACTCATTCTTCTTTGATGGCCTTTGTGCCCGTAACACTCCAAGTCAGTAAATCTCAATCCTTTAAAGAACATTTGGGATGCTGTGAGGTGGAATATTTGTATCAACACGGAGCCAACAAATATGCAGCAATTCATCATCTGCCAAAGATAACTATACTATTTTACAGACCTTCCAACCTACACACAACAGAATGTGAGAAACTGCAACATTGCATGGCATGTGCAGGGTTTGTCTTCAGAAAACGTTCTAAGACTAGGGGTTGGGGCACCATAGCTGTTGACAGGAAACATAAGATATTACTGTGTAATTGAGTTACTTGAAGACAATACTTAAACCCAAAACTATAGAATCCAAAAAAAAAAAAAAATACAATTAAAAAAAAATGTCAGTGATTTGCAATTCTGTTAAATCCAAATTAAGTCATGTCGTCGATCCAAGAGCACAATATAATGCTGATCACATTTAGAACTGGCCTGAAGATACAAAGCTGGCATACTTAGTAAGAGTTCAAAGAACAATATTTAAATTAGACTGTTTTGTTACCTCAACCACAATCTGGTGCTGTCAGTTAAATCTTTGAGTTTTAGCTCTGTTTGTTCACAAAACACATCTTAGTAAACTACGATTTTAAGTGACTCTTCGGCCAATTAAACTGGGGATGGAGAGGGCAGTTTGGAGGGAGTGTCACATGACACAATTTTCCATTTCCTGCCATCATTTTCCTCTTATGACAATCTTAGAATGTTCTGACCTATTCTGTGTTGTGTTGGACAACTCCGACATAAAATCGGGGATAGTCAACATTGTCTTGGCCCTTTTATCGTAGCCAGTCACTGGGAATGAGAACGCAGCCTGTTGACTGTTACAGGTAGCCAATCAGAAAGTGTGGTGTCGTAAGCACAGAGTAAATGTTTTACTCATTTCAGCAGTCATCCACTAAGATGTTTCAGCATTTATTAAAAACGGAGCAAATGTCTGTAAAATATTCACATTTCAATCACATTGACTCATTTATTTCAAAATAAACATTTAGTATCAAAAGAGCAATGAATGCAAAATGTCATCTTTTTTTGTTTTTATTCATAAGCTTTTTTTGTTTTTTTTTACTAAGCAACAAAAACAGTAAAGAAATATTAAGGATATCGCTAATTACCAAATTTTGTTTGGTTTTTGTTACCCATGTTTTTAGGTTTATTATGAATGAGCTGAAGTGAAGCAGAATAAAGTTGTCAAATGAATATGAATGGAGTTTATTTGAGGTCATCACCTTGGAGGCCTAGCCCTGCAATATAGATGTTTGTTTTTCTTCTTCTCGCTGGTTGACCCAAGTGATATAAGAATTTTCTATGTTCTTTGATAAATTGTATGTTTCATGCTCATTTTATACATTTTCAACACATTTTAAGCACAACCGGAAGTTGAGTGATGTATGTTGATTGAATCATGGACAACAGAAGACTGAGTATTGTATGCTAATTGATACAGGAGACTAAGTACTGTATGCTAATTGATCATCTCTGATGCTGAGCTCATGGTCAAGTCGTGGGCAGGGAAGTAGCATTCTGATTGGCTAACCCGTCAGGAAGAGGGGAAATGGCCATTCCCTTCTTTCATTCGAGTTTGTTTTGGTAATGAGTATAAAAGGCAGAAAAGTCCCATTGTTCAGTAGAGTCAGAGTAGAGTACGGACGCCCAATTTTTACCGCTGCACCATTGAGAGCATCCTCACCAACTGCATCACAGTTTGGTATGGGAACTGCTCTGTCTCCGACCGGAAGGCGCTGCAGAGGGTGGTGAAAACTGCGCAGTGTAACTTTCTCTAGAGTGATAAAAAAAGACAAATCTTCAAGACGTGACTGCCTGCGAGTGGTCCCTCAGCTCCACCAGCACTCCGCAGAATTCTTTATTACATTTTTTGTGTGTGTGTGTGTGTGTGTGTGATCGTATAGGTTAAATCGAACAGTTAACAATTTCTTAAAATCAAAACAAAACATTCTCATTTCAAAATAACTTCAACAAAACCAACAGTAAAATAACTGCCATCGCAGCCAACAGTTAACAGTTATAACTTTTGGAAAACATTTCTATATATATATTTTTATACATGTATACATATGTTTTTATAACCAGAACCCACCTAGAGTGATAAAAAAAGACAAATCTTCAAGACGTGACTGCCTGCGAGTGGTCCCTCAGCTGAAAAACAACAGATATAGTTAGCGTCATGACTGTTTGGTCAGCCAGCAACACCAACTGACGCAGCTCTCACACATAGGGCCATATTTTTCCAGCCCAACCACGACAAAACGTCATAATTTATATTTATGAATGTCAGTTGTTATTATAGTATTTTGTTAAGTACTGAACCAGAAAAATATGACCCCAAGTAAAAAAAATAATGAAGAGCTGCGCCTCCACCAGCACTCCGCAGAATTCTGGTGGGGGAAACCGCGAGAGCGCCTGAAGGACCCGTCGCATGCAGTGCGTGATCATACCACTAGGTGGCTCCAAAACATGGCGTTACTCAAAAATCTCATCAAAAACAAACACAACCTTCATTATTTTGGGCAAAATTCACAGACATATTATACACACTTTGCTCTCTGTTACACCAGCACATCGCCGGGGCATCGCTCCCTGCCATCAATGACATCTACAGGAAGCGGTGTCTGAAAAGGGCCAGGAAAATCACCAAGGACTTCACTCACCCTGCACACACGCTCTTCTCTCTCCTGCCCTCTGGGAGGCGTTACAGAAACCTATGGACCAGAACCACCAGGCACCAGAACAGCTTCTTTCCCACAGCTGTCACGCTCCTGAACGCCTCCTGACACAAACTATAAGGACTGTACCCCCCATCCCCGGACTGTTTCCCTCACATACATGATCTGTATACAATCTTCATATAATCTGTAAATCTAAATTGCCAGTATTTATCCTGTATTATAAAACAACTAATATATATATACACTATCCATTCTTCATATTCCTGTATATTCCATATAATCTGTGTAATTTGTATAATATGTGCATAGCTTTCATATTTATGTTTATATTTGTAGAAAACATTTTTATTAGCACATCAATATTATTCTCTGTTTATATCTTTGTACAACTGTTTATAAATATTTATATCCTGTATAGCACTTCTGGATAGATGCAAACTACATTTTGTTGCTTTGTACATGTGACAGTGCAATGACAATAAAGTTGAATTCTATTCTATTCTTTTCTATTCTAAGCTTAAAGGACATTATAAGAAGAGGTTGGAAAAGTTGTTGCGTGTGGAAAAGCTTTGTGGATTCTAAATATAAATTCAAAATTCTTTCATGGAAACCTGACCAAGCAGAACAAGTTTCCATGAAAGAAAGAAAGAAAAAAAACCCACAGCCGGTTAATTATAGTAGTTGACGGAAAAAAGTTGCCAGCAAAAACATGTAAACTTGGCAAAAAGCAATATAAAGTAATTTACAAATGGTTTATGCATAAGGGGTGAATGTTAGTCAATTTTTATTACGGTAATATTACTAAACAAAACACCAAAGATCCCTCTGGTAATTTGAACCATTTTAAAGTTGTATTTTGTAACCATGCAGCGGTTTCATCACTCATGTGTTCAGCACCTACTGCTATTCTTTTGAAAGCATCTACACTATAATAACAGATTCTTGTCCATGAAAAATAAGTTAATCCAAAATTCTATAAACAAGTTGACCTTTAAGTTGGGAGTCCATGCTGCAAAGATCTCTGCATGCTTTTCTTGTATTTCAGGGCCTAAGTTCAATCCAAATGGTAAAAAGTGCTACAGCTGTGAAGGTCAACAGTGTGTTGGAACTGAAAACTGTAAGAATGATGAGGAATATTGCATCAAATCAACAAGTGAGACTTCTGCTTCCTTTTCTAAGTTCAAAGCTTCATCTTCTTATGAATATTGTAAGGTTCTAAGATGAAACATGTGGCCCACATTAATGCCTCTGTTTTTCACTCTCACAGTCAACACAGGAGGGACAAGCCAAACCTTGAAGGGTTGTGCTTCCAAGACGATGTGCCCAGAATACGCATCAGAGTTTTTTAAACCTTTTATCTTACAGGAAGCAGCTGCTGCCAGGGAGATTACTGCAACAGCGCCAGCGGTGCAAGTGCTGGCCTGCTGCTGTTGTTTGTGTCGCTGATGTTTCTGGTCTTGTTATCTTAGAAGATCCACAAACATACATCAACACAAAGCTGTCTATTGCAAGTTATTTTCAATATTTCTGTTGTGGAATAAATCTCAATCTGTTTGTCTTTTTTTTTAAGTTTAAAAGTGGATTGTCATTATCTAAAATAATACAACTTTAAGAGTAAAAGCAGAAATTAAATGAACAAACATTCCTCTTTCAGTTGCCTAATAAAAGGATTTATTTTCATCTGTAATATTCAAGAATTTTTTTGAGCTATTAAAATGAGAAAAACATACAATGTGATATTATTCATGTTATTTAATTTGGAACACACACACACACACATATATATATCATAATCCATCTTGTGTGATTCTCTTCATGGCAGAGAATAGAGAAATGAGGCATTAGTGGTTCATTACTGTTTATTTCTTCCTGAAATGAAAAGTAAAGGTCTACAATTGAAATGAAAAGCAGGAAGTGAGAATAACATGATTATGAATGTGAACTATAAACTGAAACTTGGCAGCAGAAGAAGAGCAAGCGCATCCAAATCGATCCTCAGACTGTTTACTCAAATGTTGCCGTACAGGTTAACATCCTGTAAAGAAAAAATATTTAATTGGTTCGTTATTGCTTAATAAACTTTATGTGCTTGTATTGTACTCTATGAACCGTACAGGAAATATGTTCTTGTAAAACCAAAGGCTTTTGACGAATATTATTAAAAATGTTGAAGTTTGATCTAATAAGAGATCATCGTTTCATAAACAATAAAAGCTCAGAGATTAAGAGTTTAGACTGGAAAATAGTTATTTTTAAGTGTATCAAGAAAAATTGACTGAAACATCTCTCAACAGCTGTAAATGGTAAATTCAATGAACAATGCAACTGACCTCTGGTGTGGGCGGCGCAGGTCGTCTTTGGTTACTGGATGAACGAAACAAGATAATTAATAAAGAACCACAATAATCGCAGCAGTCTTTTGAAGCCTGAAATATAGAGTTGTTCTCCTCACTTCTTTGGTGATGGATAATACTGCTTGTTGACTTTTTTCTCACAGACGAACACTTCTGCATTATTTCTAGGAGCAAAAACATATTTCACAATATCACATTTTCAGCATTTCTGCTCATTATAAAATATTTTTGAAACCACGGCTGAAAACTTACAAATAACTGACTCTGAGGTCAGTCGAGCTGTTTGGGGATCTGCAACAATTATACACGTTGTTCTTAGTCTACTTTTAATTTTTTAATCACTTAATGTCTGATATTCTTGTTTGTAATAAACATGAAATTATTACCTTGAAAATCTATTCCAGAAAGAGTTTCTGTAAAAGAAACATTCAAGTAGTAGCAACTTTAACATTGACAATGAGGAGATTTAACAACAGAAAATGTTCCTACCTGGTGATCTGCCGTCCTCTGATTGTCTGAAAATAATAGTGTTGCAAACATCAGAACTGAGGATTAAAAGGGCAGAATTTGCTTTTAGTTGTTCTTACTGAAAAAACCTTCTCCAAACTGATCTCCTGCACAGAAACATTTGTTAATTTTTAGTATGTGATCAACTGCAGTTTCAAAAAAAGCTTTTTGGTTGTGCACCTTTTTTCTGGCCTTGGAGGTTTCTCTCTATCTCCCTCAAAGTAAGTCCTATAGGTATTAAAATGGTTTTGGATTTACTATTTGCTTGTGCAAAAACAAAAAGAAACTGAGTAAAACGTTTAATTCAATTCACCTGGTTAATCTACCCCAAAGAGATCTTTGGTGTATGGGGGATGTTTACATCCCTGTGGAAGAACAGGGATGTAAACATCCATTTATCAGTGACACAGTGTTACATTTGAGAGTGAATATGAGTGTAAAGTAGAGCTGTATAAATTTCTAATTCCAAGCATGTAAGATCATTGTTGTTAATTAGTATTAGTGAATAATATTTAATAAATACTCATTAATATCTATAATATTTGAATCAAGATGTTTAGATTGAGAGGCAAGACATCTCTCTTAATTTTGTCCATGAACAGCAAATTGGATTTAAAACAACCCTTACCTTACCTTACCTTACCTACCTTACCTTACCTTACCTTACCTTACCTTACCTTACCTTACCTTACCTTATCTTACCTTACCTTACCTTACCTTACCTTACCTTACCTTACCTTACCTTACCTTACCTTACCTTACCTTACCTTACCTTACTTTACCTTACCTTACCTTACCTTACCTTACCTTACCTTACCTTAGTTCACCTTACCTTACCTTACCTTACCTTACCTTACCTTACCTTACCTTACCTTACCTTACCTTACCTTACCTTACCTTACCTTACCTTACCTTACCTTACCTTACCTTACCTTACCTTACCTTACCTTACATTACCCCTAACAACTCATATCAAAACAGAGAGCAAAAGTGCTAAATTAGCACAGCACTTAAAAGTTCTTGGAGGTAAAATTCTTGCCTTTTCTCTGGTCTTGGCGGAGGCGCCAGAGGGCAATCGGTGTGCTTTCTGGTGATGAGAAAATTGTAATTTCTTTAGGTCAGCTTCATTTTCTTTAATTGGCCTCATTTTTGAAGGTAAAAAAACATCAGCGCAATACATGCAAAAGCATATATTAGTCGATTTTGAGAGGTTTACTCACCTTTTCCTGTAGAAGAATATGCCAAGCAGCACAGCAAAGAGGATCAGCACTAAGATGACAACAGGAATCACCACAGGGATAGCTTTCTGTATCTGGTACGCCATAGTTCCTGGAGATGAAGATATAAAATAATCATAATGAGAAAATCTCTCAGTTTCCTGTGTCCAATGCTTTGATAAGAAAAATGATTTGTTGAGTCTAACCCTACAATTAATTTGAAAGTCCTGGTTTCATTCTTTCCACGCCAGAAGATGGCGGTACAGTTCAGGTTTCTCTGTCCATCTCCTCCAGCAACCACAAACGTGATGGTGGACGTCGTCTTCCAGACACCTCGTGACATCTCAGTGTCTGAAACCTCGTTGTTGACGTAAGGGACACTCCATGAAAACTTTGGAGGATGTGATGAGCATGAGTGACTGACAGAACAGGAGACATTTACAGTTGAACCAGCATTCACTTGAGCTGGAACTAAACTCATCACTGGTTTCTCTGGAGAAGCTGAGGATTAAAGACAAAGACGTTTGCTATTGCTCAGATTGGAAGAAAATGTATCACAAACAGCATGCGAATGATGTAAAACATTAGTAAGGATTCTTGACCTTTCATGACGATAAAAACGCAGCTGTTGTTAAATCTGTATTTGTTTGTTCCTTTCTCTCCATAGAAACAGAAAGGGCCGGTGTCAAAGGGTTTTATGTCGTCAATCTCCAAAGAGCAGTCTCCTTCATCCAGGTTTCCCAGAATTTTGGTCCGGTCCTTGAACTGGTCCAAAACATAACTGCGGGCATTGTGGGGTACACAGACCCCAGTTTTTTTGTACCAGATGCCACGAGTCAGGGGCTGATCCTCGTCATCCTGGAAACTGCAGGGGATGACCACACAGGACCGAGTCAAGGCATTGAATCTGCGAGGGACGTCAGCAGCCAGGACGCGGAAAGCTGTTGGGGGGGCGAGAGGACCAGTTAAAATTAGAAAGGTGCTGTCAGAAAAATACAGGACATTTAATACAAAAGACATGAAAATTATACAGATACACAAAACTGATAGCCTTAAATCTGAAATAATGCACAAAAAGAGAGAAAAATAGGCAGGAAATCAGTGTCTTATGCAAGTTGTCTGGTGTAAGGAAAAAGAAAGGTGAGCTCACTATCTTTCTCGTTCAGTTCTTCTTCAACCGGTACATATTCTGTAAAAATGAATAAATAAATGAATTTATTTTTTATTAGTAGCTAAGCAATAAACCCAAGTGAAAGCTATAAGTTTAACTGGATTAAAGAAAGCAGTCATTGTTTACTGGCCAACATTTGAAACTGTAAATCTTCCAAGGCGTCTGGTGTCTCAAATATCGCTCTGCAGATTTAAACACTGAAACTTTTAACTTCAATTCTGAGTTCTAATGTTAATTTGAACTATAGTGGTAAACAATGTGTGTTAGATGTAAAAACTCACTTTTTATCTGAAGAAGTGAGGAGTTTGATGTTTCTCCAGTCAGAAAATGTGCAATGCAGGTCAAAGGTTTTCCATTGTCTTCAAGGGAACCAATAAACGTAAGATTGGACTCAGTGGTATACGTATTACTGGATATTTTTTTGAGCTTTTGTAAATGCAGCATGTCTGAAAAGTTCCACTCAATTGTTGGTGTATTTGTCTTGCATTTGTAGGAGAACAAATTACACTCTTTGCCACTCCTTCTGTTAGCTCTCCTGGAGGTTCAACCATTTTGATTGTTTCAAATGGACCTAAGCAAAAAATGAAACTTTACTTGTGAAGAAAACTTAAAAATCTCATCAATTTAAACCACAACATGTATATTTATACTCACATTCAACATGCAGGAGGAGCTCACTTTTGGCACTTGTCCACCAGGATATCTCACAGTGCACTCCACCTTCTTATGGTCTTCTTCTACATTCCAAGTTCGTTCTATTGTTCTTTCCCAAATGCCGTCTGACAACAGGGAGTCAATGGTGCGGTCTGTTCCAGGAATGCCATTCAGAGACAGGGCAGGAGGAGCAGAAGAACATGTATATTTCTTTACAGGTAACCCTGCTTTGAGCTCCCACCTTAGGAACATCAATGATGCTCATTTGGGGTTCTTGTGCCTGGTCTATAAAGATAAAAATAGAAATATGTTAATCTATGATGATTCCAACTAAAATGTAGATATTTAAAATACTGGTGAAAGAGTGAAAGGAAAAGTTCAACATACATTATTTTAACATAAACAACAGTTTAACTAGACAGACAGAAACAAGTTTCTTGCTGCAATGGGAAAACTGCACAAGATATGAATATTTGTCAGATTTATTTTGCTTAATCAAGAAGTTGTTTTCCCAGACATGATTTTGTGCATTAAGTAGTTATGCTGCTGTTGCACCCTTGTGGTATACCTAGGTATACCACAAGCAAATGGCAACCTCGATAAGGCCACAAGGAAAGGAGCCACAGCTAAATACCTCCAACGAATAAGGCAAGTCCTGAGAAGCCAGCTCAATGGCAAGAACAAAATCCGTGCGATAAACAGCTATGCCCTGCCAGTAATCAGATACCCTGCTGGAATAATTAGCTGGCCAAGGAGGAGATAAAAGCCACAGATATTAAGACTAGAAAGCTACTAACCATGCATGGAGGGTTCCATCCCAAATCCAGCACCCTGAGACTGTACATGAGCCGCAAGGACGGAGGCAGAGGACTAGTGAGTGTGAGAACCACTGTCCAGGACGAAACAACTAAGATCCATAAAATACATCAGGGACAAAGCCTCAACAGACAATGTGCTCAGTGAATGTCTCAGACAACAGGGAACGGAGGTTGAGGTGCCAGAGATACCATCATGGGAGGACAAGCCCCTACATGGGATGTACCACCAGCAAATAACCCAAGTGGCTGATATCAGTAAATCCTATCAATGGCTGGAAAAAGCTGGACTCAAGGACAGCACAGAGGCCCTCATCCTGGCCGCCCAGGAACAGGCCCTAAAACACCAGAGCAATAGAGGCCCAGATCTACCACACCAGACAAGACCCAAGGTGTAGGTTGTGCAAGGAGGCCCCTGAGACAGTCCAGCACATAACAGCAGGGTGCAAGATACTGGCAGGGAAAGCGTACATGGAGCGACATAACCAAGTGGCAGGCATAGTGTACAGAAACATCTGTGCAGAATGGACTGGAAACCCCGAGATCAAAGTGGGAAACACCCCCAAAGGTGGTGGAGAATGCCAGAGCTAAGATCCTGTGGGACTTCCAGATCCAGACAGACAAAATGGTAATGGCGAACCAACCAGACATTGTCGTAGTGGATAAACATCAGAGGAAAGCCATTGTGGTAGATGTAGCAATACCAAGTGATTGCAACATCAGGAAAAAGGAGCACGAGAAACTGGAGAAATACCAGGGCCTCAGGGAAGAACTGGAGAGGGCCTGGAAGGTGAAGACCACAGTGGTGCCTGTGGTCATCAGGGCCCTCGGGGCAGTAACCCCAAACTGGAGCAGTGGCTACAACAGATCCCAGGAACAACATCAGACATCTCAGTCCAGAAATGTGCAGTCCTTGGCACAGCCAAGATACTGCGCAGAACCCTCAAGCTCCCAGGCCTCTGGTAGAGGACCCGAGCTCAGAGGATAAGAACCACCCGCGGTGGGTGAGAAGGGAAATTTATTATGTGTGTGTGTGTGTGTGTGTGTGTGTGTGTGTGTGTGTGTTCTTACCTGAAACCATAATTTTGGTGCTTCTATCCAAAAATGAATGTCCCTGTGAGTGGTAAGAGGTAATTGGGTTGATATATCAACCCATGGATAGAGTTTATCCTCATTGTGAGACATATCCAGCTGGTCTATTTTAAGACTACAATTGCGGTCTGACACAGAGCCAGTCAATGTGTTATCCCATTATATCTGCTTAAAATATTTGATTGTCTTTGGTTGAATACGTCTGCGCGTCCATTACTTTGGTACAAGTACCAGACAACTTGGAGGCCACTTGGTTGGGCTTTGCTGTAGGAAAACTTGCAAGGAATGATGATACATGATCCTTTCATTCCCGTTACGCTTCCTGGAGTAGTGAAAGACCAGCCCAGATTGAGCATGTTTCCTGTAAAACACATAAAACAAACGATTTTGATTGGCCAGAGTAGTTTTAGCCTAATTTAACTGATTTGCCCTGGACAGACCATAGATTTATACATTTGAATGTTGTGTCTGCAATAGTATTATTTGTTGTCTTGGTGGGAAAAATAGTTACATTAACTCCTAAATCGAGACTTACAGGGTTCAAATGCCTAAACTGCAAAACACAAATCCTACCAAATAATTTTGGTCTAGTTTTTACTGATAGCATCTTAATAAACCTGAAATAAGAGAAAATTAACTTACAAGTAACCTTTCAAGATAAAAGAAGTGGCATTAAGTAAATAATTTCTTAAAATTGGGGAAGAAGTACTTGTTCCATTGGCAGATTATTTCACTTATAGCAAACCAGATTTGCCTGGATAGACACATTTTATCAACAGTATCTATAAAGATACTTTTTTCAATGGAACAATTTACATAAGTTAACAGCAGAACATGAGGCAGCCATGTATTTGTCAATTTTATTTACCATAAAACTCTCCATATAAAATAATATTCAGTTGATGCGACATTCATCACTGAAGACAATCTTTTTAGTTCCATTTGTTATAAACTCAAAAGACATTACCAAATGTTTAATATATTCTAGTCCTGATAAAAAGGTACAAAATGTTAACTGTGATTGGTACTCACGTTTTACCCGTATGGTGAGGCTTCTGCTGAGTCTCTCCTCCAGGAAAGTTTACAGAACATGTCAGATCATTTCCATTGTCTTTAGCTGATGCTGTAAATGTCAGTGTGGAAACAGTTTTCTGCAAAGTCCCCAAAGTTTAATATCTCTGGTAACTGGCATGTTAGAGTAGTTCCATTCGAGAACTGGTGCATTGCTGGAGCAAGTATAAGAAGCTTCACATGTTACTTGGTTTGGAACTCCTTCAAACATATTCAGCTGAAGTAGAGCTAATGCTCAGTGGTAAAATGGAGCCTAAAAACACAAAGAACGAAAGGATGGTTAAAGCTTTTCCAGAAAGACAACCTAAGTTTAGCACGAGGGCGACGCTGATTTTGATCTTGGGAGTTATCACTCACAGTCTGCAGTTAAGGTTTCAGATGTTCTTGTGTTTTACCACCTGGGTGCTGGACAGTGCACTCAATCACTTGAACGTCTCTCTCTAAGACTAAAGTGCCTGTTAAGATAGCTTTAGAAGTGCCATCAGATAGCTGAGTGTTGGAAACTCTTTTGTCTTCATTGCGATGTTGAGGCTGAGAGTTGGTGGACTGGTGGAGCATGTGTGTTCAGCAGAACATTGCACTGTTACAGATTTTCCAACTTTTCTTTCTCCAAAGATTATAATTTGTGGTGGCTTTGGCTGTCCTACAAAGAAAATGTAAAAAGTTAAAAGCTTTTTCAACAACATACTAATGCACTGATTATCAAGGCAAAAAGCTCAAAAACAAACATACCAATTACTTCAATTGTTACTGCTGTGTCATAGAATTTATATGTGCTAGACCCAACATGTTCTGGATCCACCCAAGGATAAAGTTTTTGTCTGTGGTCGTTCCAGTTCACACGTTCAATCTTTAGAGAGCAAGATTTTTTGTATGTGGAAGTGTATACATTGGTTCTTCCTCTATACATGCTAATTACTTCATTAGGGTACAAACTGTCAGAAACCAAAGGATATCCCCTGCTCACATACTGGTACCAAACAACTCTGTCTGCTCTTGTAGGTGGATACAAATTGTAGTCAAAGCTACAAGGGATAACGAGGCAGGAATTCAACAGTGCTTTGATATTTCTTGGCATGTCAACGCGCCAAGCTTGTATTGCCAAGTAAAGACATCCTGCAAGAGAAAAAATAGTTGTAAGTCAAAATTACTGAAGTAAAAATTCATCAGTTGCATCAAATTAAGACGGTATGTAATGTTACACAATTCAAAAGAAGAAAACCAAAGTACCCAAAAACCAGAGGTGCAGGAGCAAATGTCTAAACCAAAACATCTTGATATAAAGGTATCTGAAAGAAACAAATGATGTGCATTAGTATTATTTATTGAAACAGCTTATCGCTAAAGATACAATAAAAATATTTGTGCCATTTTCAAAATCAACCAAATTTTGTTTTACAAAAAACTTTTAATTTACGTTTCATTTCTTTGCAGTTAAAATGTTTCAAGGCTGTAAAAAGACTGGTACCCATCTCACACAAAGTTTTCTACTGTTTCTTTCTGTTGCCCTTTTTTTATTTCCTCCATCTTAAAAGCAAATGAGAAAGAGGGCTTTGTAGTGCGTGTCGTTTTTTGCATGCGTGAGCTCAAGTTACCAGAGCAGAAAGAAAATGGCTACTTTACAGCTACTTTGTCATCTTTGCATTTTTTACCCTTAACGAGGATCATCTTCATGTTTTAGACTGTCGGTTTCAAAATTCACATGAACAAAGAATAAGTTCACATAGCACAAAAATGATTGATTCTCAGAATTCATCATATGAAATTATGAATTAATTACAATACCTCAAAAATGGAGAAACTCACTTTCTTGTTTACATTTGTTTTCAATTGTAAAAAATTAAAGAGAGTGA